AATAGATAACCTACCCAGAGTAACTTCTACAATAGATAACCAACCCAAAGTAAAATCTACAAATCTACAATAGATAACCTACCCAAAGTAGCATCTACAATAGATAACCTACCCAAAGTAGCATCTACAATAGATAACCTACCCAAAGTAACATATACAATAGATAACCTACCAAGAGAAGCGTCTACAATAAATAGCATACACAAACTAATAAACGGTATTTCCAAATTGCTAGCTGTAATAGAGTTCGAACACAGATAAAATTAATAGATTTATCAGGCCCTCTCTGTTATAAAATTATGTGATCAATTCCATTGATGAAAATGGTTTCACTTCTCATTCTGATGAATTCATTTCAGACGGACACTACCTGGTCAATAAAATTATAAATAGAGTCGAACTGTCACGTGGTAGGGCCTATTTACCTTGTCGAGTGGACTCAAGTCGTTTGATATCTTACAATCAATTTACATTAAAATAACAAACTCTTACCTTCCCATGGAACATTCTGTTATTCCAGATCCAGCTGAAAGAAATTTAAAACTAAGAGTAGTGTATTTTTATACCTCATGTTGGTAGTGTAGTTAGTGGCGAACTGTCATTAAACTCCTTGGTTTGTACCTGTCACTAGTGGAGAAACGTTTGCCGACATGGTCTACTGCGCTAAACCAGCGCATTTCGGGAAATTGACGAGTGACGTGAGTTAAAAGACACCGGGCTTAACTGTCAGGGGAGGGCACTCAATCACCCTCTTTTTTTTTCAAAGGGTCAAAGGTCATGTGCCAAGTATACATTAGTGCGTGTCTCATTGGCCCCGCCCACAGAATTGTGTTGAATGATTCAAATGACACTTGATTCTTCTTTAAATGCCAAGGTGCATTAGCTCCCTAGTAAAATGACATATTGTGACGGATCTAAACTAATCAACTTTAAATAGACACTAATTTTTCAACATTTTCGTTGATACTCGTTGATACAATCAAGTTTTTATGTTAAATTTTAGGTCTAGTTTTGTAATTAGTACAGTATATTATATGTTGTGGTCATTACAGAGGAAGCTCGACATGTTGGGTGATTCAATCATTGAAGGGACACTTCACCATGTTGTGGGGGGTGGGGGTTCAATCATTGATGGGACAGATGAAGGGGAACCTCACCATGTTGTGGGGGGGGGGGGGTTCAATCATTGATGGGACAGTTCACCATCTTGGGGGATTAAATTATTGATGGGACATTTTACCATGTTGGGGGATTAAATCATTGATGGGACACTTCACCATGTTGGGGGATTAAATCATTGAAGGGACACTTCAACATTGTGGGTGATTCAATCATTACAGGGATATCTCACCATGTTGGGGGATTCAATCTTTGAAGGGACACTTCACCATTGTGGGTGATTCAATCATTGAAGGGATACTTCACCATGTTGGGGGATTCAATAATTGAAGGGACACTTCACCATTGTGGATGATTCAATCAATGAAGGGACACATAACCATTGTGGGTGATTCAATCATTGAAGGGACACTTCACATCGTGGGTGATTCAATCTTTGAAGGGACACTTCACCATCGTGGATGATTCAATCATTGAAGCGACACTTCACCATTGTGGGTGATTCAATCATTGAAGGGACACTTCACCATCGTGGGTGATTCAATCATTGAAGGGACACTTCACCATTGTGGGTGATTCAATCATAACAGGGATATCTCACCATGTTGGGGGATTCAATCTTTGAAGGGGCACATATTATGTATGTTAAATCATTGACTGTAAATCTAGTGATTACTTTGTGAAGTATTTATTTGTGTTACAAACATTTTTCTATTTGTCTTGAACAAGTAATTAAAATGGATTTAAATATTTTTGCATTCTCAAGTGTATTAAATCGTTAGAGCATACACAAGTACCAAAATACAAATCTATGCCACTTACGTCAAAATGTGTTTTTTCTAAAGAAAGTGCATGGACTCACCCAACCCAGGCTGACACCACAACTATCTGCACATGGACTCACCCAACCCAGGCTGACACCACAACTATCTGCACATGGACTCACCCAACCCAGGCTGACACCACAGATATCTGCACATGGACTCACCCAACCCAGGCTGACACCACAGATATCTGCACATGGACTCACCCAACCCAGGTTGGCACCACAGATATCTGCACATGGACTCACTCAACCCAGGGTGGCACCACAGATATCTCCAAATGGACTCACCCAACCAAGGCTGACACCATATATATCCCCACGTGGACTGATCAAACAGGTTGGCACCACAGGTATCTGTACATGGACTCTCCAAATCCAGGCTGGCACCACATGTATCTCCACATGGACTCACCCAACCCAGGCCCACACCACAGATTCCCCACATGGACACACCCAACCCAGGCTGTCACCACAAATATTCCCACATGGACTCACCCAACCCAGGCTGACACCACATATATCTGCACATTGACTCACCAAACCCAGGCTGGCACCACAAATATTCCCAAATGGACTCAACCAACCCAGGCTGACACCACAGATATCCCAACATGGACTCACCCAGCCTAGTCTGGCCTCACAGATATCCCAACATGGACTTTCCCAACCTGGGCTGCCATTACAACTATCTCAAAGTAACAGTATCACGTGAACACTTTCCGTAAGATGTCAAACATCTTGACAGCAAGCGTCTGTTCATGAACTTAGCGTGTTGGTTTACACCCTGCTCCCCGTGGCCGAGCGAAGAGATCCTCTGCAACATAGGACACAGAGGTTGCCATCGTCCAAATTTCCTCGGGTTTATCAACTCCTTCTCTTCCTCTAGAACAGGGGTGTTAAGTTTATTCACCAAGGGAGATAATCACAAGAAGGTTACCTTCGTGCACAAAGGTGGGTAATCGAGTTATTCCTGTTCATGTTAAAACTATAATGTCACCCTTTCGAAATTATTTTTAGACTCGTTTTTAAATTAATATAATCTTTGCGTCTTCATTATATTATGAGGCTTTAGGTCTCATTTAAGGGTTCTTAAACTTTTTGTCAGCGCCACACCTATCTCCAGTTGTTTCTTTAATTCCTGCCTCCAGTAAACCAGAGATCTGAGAACCTGGTGAAGAACGTCTGTTTCAAAATGATTAGTATAGTAGGCTATGGGTCTAAATGATTAGTATAATAGGCTATGGGTCTAAGTGATTAGTATAATAGGCTATGGGTCTAAGGGATTAGTATAATAGGCTATGGGTCTAAATGATTAATATATTAGGCTATGGGTCTAAGTGATTAGTATAATAGGCTATGGGTCTAAATGATTAATATATTAGGCTATGGGTCTAAATGATTAGTATAGTAGGCTATGGGTCTAAATGATTAGTATAGTAGGCTATGGGTCTAAGTGATTATTATAATAGGCTATGGGTCTAAATGATTAATATATTAGGCTATGGGTCTAAATGATTAGTATAATAGGCTATGGGTCTAAATGATTAGTATAGTAGGCTATGGGTCTAAGTGATTAGTATAGTAGGCTATGGATCTAAATGATTAGTATATTAGGCTATGGGTCTAAGTGATTAGTATAGTAGGCTATGGGTCTAAATGATTAGTATAGTAGGCTATGGGTCTAAGTGATTAGTATAGTAGGCTATGGGTCTAAGTGATTAGTATAGTAGGCTATGGGTCTAAGTGATTAGTATAGTAGGCTATGGGTCTAAGTGATTAGTATAGTAGGCTATGGATCTAAATGATTAGTATATTAGGCTATGGGTCTAAATGATTAGTATAGTAGGCTATGGGTCTAAATGATTAGTATAGTAGGCTATGGGTCTAAGTGATTAGTATAGTAGGCTATGGGTCTAAATGATTAGTATAGTAGGCTGTGGGTCTAAGTGATTAGTATAGTAGGCTATTGGTATAAGAGTCAGCTGTTACCAATATGGTAACAACAATTCTTATTGTCTTCTTGTGAGAATGACAAAATGTTATGTCAGAAAAGAATCTCAATCTTCATTTAATTCAGTTGGTACAATACCCGTGAGATGTGTATAAACTATCAATATCAACAGATGAAGTAAGCGCCAGGACATTCGAATCATATTTACATGCACCCAGACACGTGGACATAGACGCATGGACACAAACACATTCACACAGAAACAGGGACATAGACACAGACACATGAACACAGACACATGGACACAGACCCATCGACACAGACCCATCGACACAGATACAGGGACATGGACACAGGGACTTGCACACAGACACAGGGACATGGACACAGACACATGGACACAAATGCATGAAACAGATACATGGACGCAAACAGGGACACAGACACGTGGATACAGACACTTGGACACAAACACATGGACACAGAAACAGGGAAAACAGACACATTGACACACACACCTGGACACAGACATCTGGGTAAAATCAGCTGGGCACATACAGATGCGCACAGATACATGGGCACAGACACGTCGACACAGACACATTCAGTGACATAAAAAAACAGACATCAACAGAGACCAAATTGTTGAGAGGTACAATGCACACGCACGCTCTGTGTAGATCACCAGCTTTATTGTGTACGCACTCAGCCAAGTCGCTACACGAATATTTTAACTCATCAATATTTCCGACAGAATGGTCGAAACCTTGACGTCATAAGTTGACCAATCCGTGAACTTTTTTTTAAATTTGGGCGCCACCATTTGTACAACTATATTATTATGGATCATTGAACTAGATGCATTACTGATACAAAAAAAAATTGAATAGGCCTAAGTTATATATTGACAAAAGGGCATCATCTGTAATTGGAACATTAATAAGCTCAAATAATAATGGTTCTCATGACCAGACATACAACGTAACTGATTGGATAAATACCTTATAATATGACTTTAACCTAAATACACTCTTGAAACTACCTTAGCTGTGCACCAATGATGGTACAATGACTTAAATCTTAGCTACACAGCTCGACAAATGACCTGAACATTGATTACACAACTCGTCAGACGGCGAAAGTAAGCTACTCAACTCGTCTATTGACTTAAATGATGGCTACACATCTCGTCAAATAACTTAAATGTTGGCTGCATATCTCGTCAAATGACAAATGTAAGCTACACATCTCGCCACATGACAAATGTAAGCTACACACCTCGTCAAATAACCTAAATATTAGCTACACATCTTGTAAAATGACCTAAACTTTAGCAACACACCTCGTCAAATGATCGAAATTTCACTTCCCTATTTTTACAAAACTAAGAGATATAACCATTGGGAAATGTATAGATCAAGCCATCACGCTCCTGACATTTCAATACCCATGAAGATCCTAACATCACGACGAAGATCCTAGCATCACGATGAAGATCCTAACATCATGATGAAATTCCTAACATCACGATGAACATCCAGACATCACGATGAAGATCCTAACATCCAAACTAAGCACCAAGATTCTACAAGAAGCTAATATCAGTATCAATGGCCTCTGTGCGGAGATCGTCATCTTCTGGGTTCCCGTTGTTGGGTACAGAATTATGCCAAGCCTCTTCGCCACTCAAGCTGGAGTTCCTTTCCTCCGCCGACTTGTAAATCACATCCAGTTCTTCAACCTTGAATTCAGCCTTCGAGGCGTCGGGGTTAATGACATTCTGACATTTGGATGCTGAACTGCAGGCACCTTGCGGTCGTTTTTCCGGAGGTTCGCTCTGGCCATTCTCTAACATTTTAGTATCAGGGCCATTGTCTATTTGCCCTAGAACATTCATATTTTTAAGTCTCGATTTTCTGTTTTGAGACTCGTTTCTTTCCTTCTTGCTGCCGTTGTTCAATATAATTAAAATCGCGCGACTGTTTGGGGATTCTTCCAGATTCTTTTTAGGCGTTCTCAAACGACTGCGCTTGAGCTCACACTGAACGACAGCATCTTGCTTTTTAGAGGCAGCAAGCGTGTGGTCAGAGCATTGCTTGCCGGCGGCATCCTCCACGGGGCTCGCGGGGACTTCTTCCTCTGCTTTACTGGCACTTTGGGATTTAGGGTTGTCCCGTACGAGGTCTTGGAGAAGCGTGATGGGGTGGGCTGTGTGGACGTTTTTTGGTGAGGGCGGTGAGGGTTGCTCGAAGTCTGCACTGCTCTCCGAGGTGCTGGCCAGTCTCCTGGGACCCACTGGCTTCAGCTCGACCAGACATTTGGTTTCGTCCATTGAAACGGGATGCTCCCTCTTGGTGCCCGAGCTGGCCGCGATAAAGAGTTTTAACTCATCTATTTTATTCTGCACGTAGTTCGAACATTGCGGGCTCGCAGCTTGCACGGAACCAAAGATCGGCTCGGCGTTTTCCGACCCTTGCAGCAACGTCTTGTTCTGTTTATAAAAATCAACGTTGTTTGAGATATTTCGGGGATGCACTGCGGTGGCAGGATTGTGAATCGCAAATTTATTCAGATTAAAGGATTCAAAGTGATCGACCGTTACGATGGATTTAAAACCTGTCCCGGTGACGTCATTCAGTCGGGGTGACGAACCGGGGAATGCAGCACTGGAACTTTTTTTTTCAATCAGGCCAGACTTGTTGAAATATTCAGGACTCAGTTTTGATGGCATGCCCATCAACGTGTTGGGTGCGGAGCCGTACTTGGTCATTCCGGAGCCGTACTTGGTCATTCCGGAGCCGTACTTGGTTAGTGCGGAGCCGTACTTGGTCAGTGCGGAGCCGTACTTGGTCAGTCCGGAGCTGTACTTGGCTAATCCGGACCCTTTAGCTAGTGACTTAGTGTGTTTGTTTTTCCTGACATTGGGAGATTGGTTGCCGTCCCTTTTACGTGTTCTTTTCCTCTTGTCGTGGCTCCTCAAACCAGATGTCTGCTTTGATTTCAAACTATCTAAGCGCCTCTTTAATTCTGCATATCGCTTGATATCAGGAGTTTGTTCAAAGGGTTGAAATGTTGTGGGGATGTCCTTGGCCTCACAGAACGCCTCTTGCGCCTCCTTCTCCATACTGGCACAGCACGGGTCGTACGCTTGCCGTTCCTCATCTCGGGGGGTACCACAAGTGGGGGAACACGGGTTCAGGCTGGTGGGCGAATTCGGTCTCCAGCAACCCTCCTCGTCCTTTCTGGAAGAAACGGTTCTACTTATACCTTTCAGAATGTCCAGGGTCGTTATCAGGGTGTTGGGTCTGCGTTTGCAAAGAGGGCAACACTGATTGTCTTGTAAACCGCTTGAGCCTGGCAGTGTTTCGGCATCAAAAAGGCGATCGTGATGAGCTTCTGAATCATTTGTTTCGTTTTTTAATTCGTGAAATGCCGTTTTCGTTATGGGTAGATCCTTGTCTCCAAGACCCCAACGAATAGTTCGCTTTCGACACGGCGAGCACATTTGACACAGCAGGCGTTCAGCCGAGGGTGAAAATTTCGGCATTTGATGGTTGAATTTGTTCGTTTTTTTAGATTGACTCGTTGGCTCATCGTCGAGCGTGTCACTCCAAGACGAACTCGACAAGCAACTCGCCTGAAGTTTGCTATGTTTTTCAGGTCTTGTTGGAAGTTGTCTCTGTTCCATGTTATCGAAACTTCGGCTTCGGTGTAAGAAATTTTTTCTGTAAAGTTTTAAAACATTTTTCAGTACTTTGTACTTGTAACCCAAGTCGATGTCCCCATTTTTCTTATGCTGAAATATCCGCGTGCATCTCGGCTGTCTCTGGATATAATGCCTCCGTCTTGAGGTGACCTCTCCAAAGAAGTCTTGTTTTGCTGGATGCCTCGAGCTGTGCTGATGACCTGAATACGGAAAATAGTTTCCCGAGAGATCTGAGCTTTCACATTGAGGATAAGAACTGTTATCTGATTGAGTGTTTTGTGAAGAGGCCACAGAACCAGGACTTGGCATTTTGGAAACCGTCTTCATCATTCTGATGTTATTTTGTATATGCTGCAGGACGTCCAAGTACTCGTTGCATAGGTCGCTTACGAAATCACAGCCAACATTTGGTGGCATCGACTTCAGAAGCGCCTTTTCTCGCCTGAATTTGCACTTCAAACAGCGTGCTTTGGCCTTGCTGCAAGATTTGTGAAATATCTTATGTGAACTAGACTTTCCTCTATGTTTCTTTGTAAATGGTTGGATCTTTTGTACCGAAGTCTCACTGGCGTTCGACGACAGGGAGCTTAAGGAAGATGATGGTGGTGGTGCAGACTTGGCGATTCTTTTCTTCGGCTCTGCGTTCACCTTCTTTTTTTTCACTGGTAGCCTCAGGGCGCTGCTTTCTCCGATGACTGATGACGTAGCCGTGGTCTTAAACTTACTGCTTAGTGGTTTATGAAATCTTGAAATATACTTAATTTTATTTGCTTTCTTGGGCACCCCCGGCAACTTCTCCCCTAAAGGCTTTTGTGATGTACTTGAGGAGGAAACACGGGGGGCAAGGAGTTTCTTTTGTTTTAGATTTCTCTTCAGAGGCCTACACGGCGCCCTTCTCTTCGTGTAATTCAACACCGTTTTGGGGGGCGGCGGCTTCTCTTCCTGGTTGGAAACCTCCTGTGCACATGCAGCCTCAGACTCTTGAATGAAGACTTTTGTACCCGACCCGCAAGCTTTGATCCCCGTCGATGGTGGAGTTGGATGCTCTTCGCATGTGTTGATCGCCGTTGGACTTAGCATGTGGTCGTCAGGGATGCTTTTTAAAAGCTGACTGCGTTCTCGTGAACATGGCGTGGGTCCCTTTTTACGGCTCTGAGCCTGCTGTGCACATTTGGAGATGTTGCTGCCGTTAAGGCCCATTCGTGGAGGACTTTTTGTGTCGTGTGAAGTTTTCAAACCTCTTGCGCCGGGCCGCTGCATGCTATCTGTCATTTCATTGGCCAAACTTTTTGGACTGGTTTTTCCCTTACAGTTCCGCGTGACTTCCTTCTGTTCTTGGTTATTTTCAGGAATAAATTCATCTGTTAAAAAACTACTGACGATGTGTCGTTCATTGCAAGCCCTCTCGTTACTTTGATGTGCTTTAACGGGCTTGAATCTACATTCTGTTATTCCCACCTCACGGATAGCGCCACGGGCATCGATACTTTTGTTGTTTTGTTCTTCTTCCCAAACTGCGAAATTTTGATTGTTCGTTCTCTCTTCCCATTCGGTCGGCATGATCATGTTGTCAATGTTACATTCCGGTATCATTTTCGATTTCAGCATTTGAGAGTTGGTTGAGTGGGGCCTCGATGAAGAAATGAATTTCGACCTTGACCTACCATCGAAGCAAGAATCTTTGCTCTTAATCCTCGCCAAACGGTAGGCCCGACCTTCTCGTGCCGCCGACGTGACGTAATCAGCCGACCACAGACCATCCGATCTATTCCTAGCGGTGCATAGTGTTTTTGTGCCAATCGTTTCCCTGGTTTTAATTGTTGTGTATTCGAATCCTGATATTTTCCCAGCCAGGCTCTCCCTCAGACAGTTTTCGTCCAGTCTCCCGTTCTTGACGTCGTATAAAATCTTCCAAAACGCTTTGCAGTCACAATTCTCAAGACGTTTTTCGAGGTTGGTTAAATCTGTTCCCGAGGTCGGCTTATTCTCCTCGATGCTATTCAGAGTGGAGACATAACTAGTGCCGTGTAGCTCTCTGGGAGCTGCATGTTTCTTGGCTCTACCAACAGCATTCGACGATCTGGCGGGCAGACTGGTGCATCGCTTAAACCCCCTCATAGGGTATTTGACCAAATGTTTATCGTTGAATCGGAGGCTATTGGTTTCTTTAACCCCATTTTTCCCCAAGTCCATGCTGCCTTGCTGCTTTATTTTTAAACACCCAAGACTTTCAAAAGGCTTCTGCGCGGTAAACGACTTGCTGAAATCTGACCTTGTAAAAGTGGTTGGCGTTTTGACCAAAGGACTTGTACAGCCAACGCGTGTCATTGGGTTTGCAGGCGATTGTGCCTGGCTTTTGTGACGCTCTGATGAGGCGTTGGATATTTGGCTAAAGGGGGAAATTCGTTTAACACTAAATCGTCTTCGTGGAACAGGTGCTGGACTGATCGACCGCATGGTCGCCATTTGGCTACTGGTTGGAATGTTGGGCTTGGGAGACGCATGATTCTTAGAATTTGTAGGATACGAGCAGTTCTGTGACTGACATCCTTCAGATTCGCTGAGACTTAAGCAGTCGTCGTAGGAAAGACATAGATTCGGGACCCCGTATTCATCGTCAGAATCTTCTGATTCATCTGAAGAAATGGAGCAACGTGTGGCACAAGAAAACAATTGGCCGGACAAGACACTGGACACATTGACGTCACTGCTGGAACTCAAGAGTTCTTTACCTTTTTCCGTAAAAGGATAATCTCTGCCATCTATATTGATACATGGTTTATGCAGGCCATCGGTCGTAACATGGCTAGAGCTAGACAACAGTAAAGTTGGCTCAGGAAATTTTCCAGGGCTACTAGAGTGTGAGGACGACGGAGCTTCTAAATTATAAAATAAATTTATCGCCGCAGAACTTGAATTCAAATGGCTTACCCCATAAACCGGGTTCTTATTTTCCTTACTGCGAGCAGATAAGGAGTATTCTGCAAGTCTAGTGTCTTTCTTACTGCATTTAATATCGGCATTGTTGGGCGGCACTATGTCTGAAGCTGGCTGGCAACAGACACAATGCCATTTTGAAAATCTATGGCTCTCCCCCAAACATGAACTAAAAGATCTGCTGTTCTTAGAGCATTCAGCTAAGCATTCATTTGAGCCCGGACATCTTATTGATAGTGGAATTTTGTGCGAAGCGCATTTTTTATGACTTGTGTGCACCGCTGCGCACTTCTGCCCATCTGTGCTACTATTAATAGACCTAGAGCAACTCGTACATGGTCTGGGAAGGGACCGATCTTTCTCTGAGCAAATCGTACATGGTCTGGGCAAGGACCGATCTTTCTCGACTTTCGGAGTTTCGTTTTTTTCTTCACTTTGGTGAACCATTTTATCGCAAGCTAATGGCGAATGCTTTTCAAGACGCACATGTATTCTTGATTGTTCATGCGACAAATTCCTGCCGGACGGCCTCGTTGGGGCGTCTCTACATTTGTTTGCTTTAATGACGCAGGAAGCTGAGCTGAAACATTTTTGGTGGCCACGATCGTGAGAATCAAGACAAGCATGTGAAGTTTCTCCTAGGGCTCTTTTTGCTTTTTCACTGTCGACGGTTTTAGAGGAAGACTTAGAATATGGACTGCAGGCAAAACATGGCATCAAACTCGATTGATCGACTACGGAACATTCATTTGAACTTGATTTTCCAACAGGAATCGCAGGCTCTCTGTCGTTGTTGTGCTTTTGGGAGCTATGCGGGGAACTGAATTTGGTGCAAGCATTAAACTTGACCGATGTGTCATCTTTTCGAGTTGTGGTGCCTTCTTTTTTAACAACTCTACATTGTTTTTTATGACTTGTGGTTCGTGGCAAACACTCTTCGGAGCTGGAGGACAGACATTTAAAAGATTTTTTGTTTGCACCTGATCTAGAATTGTATGCGATTGTATACGCGCCTGACTTGGTTAACTCTCTGCACGGAGAATAGATCGTTTTTACAAACGTACTTGTCCTTACGACAGGAGTAGATGTATGTTTGCTGACCGAGTCTAAGGATGGCGTTGTTATCTTCTCGAGTGATTGTCCTTTATGGGTCAAAGCTGAGCAAGGGCGTCCGTTAATACCCTTTTCGTACATAGAATGCGCAGACGGTATTTTCTTGGCTCGTCTTTTCATAGGGCATCCCGAAGACGGACTTCCTTCTCGCCTTTCTTTTTGGTGGATACAATCTGTAAACGGACTTCTACATCTGTCGATGTTGTCAGAGAAGTTTGAAGGCGGACTTTTTGGGTTACATAGTATTTTCATGCGGTCTGAAGATTGGCTTTGAACGTGATATCCACAGTCCAGGCATGGACTTGTGTACCTTTGAGCCTTGTCCGTGGAATCAGTGGGCGGACTTTCCGACCGTCGCTTCCTTCTGACGTGACCTGTAGGTGAAGTTTTGTGGCCGTCGAATTTCATAGCAAAATCAGAAGACGAAATGTTTCGCTTTCCTCTTTTGTCTGCGTCATCAGATAGAGGTTTTCTTTTTCTCGTGTGTAAGCAATCTACAGATGGACTCTTATGCCTTCTTCTATTAACACACTCGAAACAAGGGCTTTTGTTACGTTCTATATTCTTAGTAAAGCAATCTGAAGAGGTGCTTTCTTGATGTATGCTTCTCGTAAGACGATTTAAATTTGGACTTTTGGGGCTTTGTTTGACGTTCAGTCTTTCTGAAAGAAGGTTTTTCTGCCTCTCCTTGTTTAAGCAATGAGATGAAGGACTCTGATTATTTCGTCCCTTGTATAAGGACACAGAGGATAAGCATTGATACCTCTTACCTTGGTTTATGCTATCAACAGACGGGCTTTTACGTTTTATCCTTACAAGGACATAGCCAGCAGTGTGTTTTCCCGTGTCAACGTTAGAAGTACAAACTAAAGACGCATTCCCTTCTTGTGTTTTTTTATCGACGCGACAATTACGAGGTCTTTTGTGGCTTTTTCGCCCCTTGATGTATCCAGAAATATATTTTTTTTTGGAATGTGTTTTGCCCATGCTTTCCGAACTGGAGCTTTCACCCGCTTGTCTTCTTTTAATACAATTAAAAGAAGGGCTTTTATACCTTTCTTTTGTACCTGAACAATCAAAGCAAGGGCTTTTATACCTTTCTTTTTTACCTAAACAATCAAAGCAAGGGCTTTTATACGTTTCTTTTGTACCTGTAGCATCAAAACAAGGGCTTTTGTACTCCTCTATTTTATACATACGATCAGAGGAAGGACTTTGAAAAGTTTTTCTCGTATCTAAACTGCCTGAAGACGTGCAGTGCAGCTTAGACATTTTCTTTCTGCCATCTGTAGAAACGTGCCGTTTAGACAGGAAATCTGTATACATTTTCCGTTTAGACAGGCAGTCAATAGGTATCTGCCGTTTCGACAGGCGATCTGTAGACATCTGCCATTTAGAAAGGCAATCTGAAGATATTTGTCGTTTAGATAGACAATCAGAAGATATGTGTCGTTTAGACAGACAATCTGAAGATATGTGTCGTTTAGACAGACAATCTGAAGATATTTGTCGTCTAGACGAGTAATCTGAATGACTTTTTTGGTTTGTCCGTTTGCTGATGCCGGCCGAGGACTTACTGCTCTCATGTTTGTTTCTTCCGTTTGTGCATTCTAAACACGGACTTTTATATCTGCTAGTTTTGTAAGCTCGATGTGAGCTCAGAGTTTCTCCCCTTTGCTTTTTATTGCAGCAATCTACACATGGACAAGGGATGTCTTCTTTTATTTTAATGTCGTCTGAACAAGACATATCTGGATATTGTTTTTTGATGCTTCTATCTGTTGATGAACTCTGTACTTTATTTAGTGTATCTGTAAAGGGACAATGTAAGTTTAGTCTATTAGGTGATGGGATTTCTTGCCTTTTTATTCCGTTAATGCTATATGCAGATAGGCTTTCCTCGACACAATCTCTGCTTGTGGTTGTATTCCGTTTTCTATCCCTACAATCTGTGGCAGAGCTGCAGTCGTCTCTTTGGTTCAAGTTTTCAAACGACAGCCTTTTTTCATCTTGTCTTTTGTTAAATTGTACTTTGGAAAGATTCGCAAGCTTTAATTTTTGGTTGAGGCAGTCCACAATGAGATTGTGATGCTCATTTCTGCTGATGGAATCCATGGACAAACAGTTAATTGTGTTTTTTATCTTCATGATATCTGAAGAATAAAGCCTCCTCTTTTCTTTTTTATCAAGGCATCCTGACAATGGACTTTCTGCGACCTGATCTAGGCATGGTCTTTGTTTTAGTTCAACTTTAAAATTAAAATCTGATGGTAGTTTTTCCTCTTTGCTTGTCTTCCTAATGCATTCTGACAGCGGTCTTTCGTTAACGTGATCTAAGCACGGTTGTTGGTTCACTTCCAATTTATAATTGAAATCTGAACAAGTGCTCACTTCATTATCATTAAGTCTTACATCATTGCTATCTGACCGTGAACCTAGTGGCTTCTTGCTGTGTGACACCGAATCATTTGACAGACATTTTTTGCTTCGCCCCTTTCTTAACGAGTCCAAAAATGAGCTTCGTTTACACCGGTGTTCAAGACTTTCTTTGCTTCCTGCAGTCGTGTTGTCCTGCTTCGGTTTTTTAGTGGGACAATTTAAATGTGAACTATGATGTAATTTCTCGTCTGTCTTGGGGGAATCTGTCATCTTGTTTGAACTCGTACGAACTCCCACTGCACTGTTTTCCGTACGATTGGCGGATGAACTTGACCTAGATTTTACTTTGTTGTTACTACATGACGTCTGTGGTGTAATAATAATGCTGCGTCTTCCTCCATTTACAGACTTCTGGTGACTCGAAAAGGTGTCTGGATTTCTAAGTGTCTCGTCCAGATACAGTGCGCTCATGACCGGAAGTTTCTCCAATGATGTATCAGAAGACTTTTCAGCCTCATGTGTCCCGTCCAATGCTCTACTGCACTGACTTTCCCAATATCCCAACAACCGTTTATACTGTATGTAAGTTTGTTCATTGGCATTTTCAGTCGGGCAAATAAAGTTTGGAAGGCATGGGCTCCATGGCTGGTCAGATTCTGATTGTATTTGAATGGAACATAGACACGGGGGATTTTGTGTTTGGTCTTGACTAAGTGAGCTCTTGGATGCTACTATGATACTTTTCTGAGAACCTGATTCTCTTCTTTTTATTCTGAGAGATTTTGTATTGGATTCGTAACTGGCTTGTGTTTCTGACAGATCATTGCACACCTTGCAAGAACCAGTGTCATCGCTGGTATTACTGGATGTCTGAGTAGACGAATGCTCACGGTGTCTAGTAGTAGTCACCTCCACACGTGGAAAAGTCTCTTTCTTAGAGATCCCAAGTTTACCATCGTTTTCAAATGGAACGTGGCTTAAACAGCCCGGACAGGTAGAGTCAAGGCAAGGAAATCGCCATTCATCCCTAGATCCTTCATCCAGAGATGGCTCGGGTACACTCAAAGCCCTTTTATGGGTTTCTTCTGATTTTCTCGAGATACTGGAAGTAGTCTCAGATGATTTTCTTACAATGCAGGGACTTGACTCCGATGATTTTCTCTCCATGCGTGGATCAGTTTCAGCAGATTTTTTCATGATGCAAGGAGTATTTTCAGCTGATTTTCTAATGATGCAGGGACTATTCTCAGCCGATTTCCTCTTGATGCAAGTACCAGGTTTATTTAGAGCAGCATTCCCAGGGCTTGCAACTGAACAGGATTCTGCCTTCCCCCGTTTCTCTGAGCACATGAACCTTTTGTGCTTTGCTCTATTGGAAATCCCTCTTGCTTCAGGAAGATCCTTTCTCTGATATTTCTGGAGGATTTCGGATTGAGAGTAAGCTGTTTGTTCGTCTTGGCTTCGTGTCCTGTGTTTGGGGCTTTCGTTTGATCTCTTATCGTCTATTGGATATTTTTGAAGTTTCGTTTCATTCGAGCCCGAGCTACAAACGTTCTCCTTCGATGAATCACTAGAAATGCATTTATCTTCTGCATGACAGATAAAGTCGCACGGATTTTTCTTCATTCGTTCGCATACTTGACTTCTGTCCACATCTTTACATTTGACAAAAATCTTTTCTTTTCCTCCACTGCATGAGTCGGCACCATCATCGGGCACAGGATCCGAGG